AAATTTTATGTTTAAAAGCAACATACCCACATGTGTTGGGTTCCCTTAAACCCCAATCTTTTTAAAACTTTAGTTAAACTAAAAGAATTTTTTATAATATCTACCCTTTCTATTACTATTTATATTCTAGTGTTGGGCTGATGCGTGAGTGTAGTTGAGTTACTTTAATGTAGTAGATAAATATTAGAAACTAATAGGTCTCTTTTGTCTCTTAACGAAATTTTTAAATTTTGTTAAAACTAAAAGACTCAATATAAATGGCAAAAGAGTATATAAACGATTCCTTTTATATATATTTATTTACACTGAAATAAACAACAAGGGGGAGCGCAATTTCGCGAAAAGCGCTCCGTCCTGTCTAAACTGAGAGTTCCATTTGCAAGGAGGGCGGTTAATACAGCGTTGGATGGGCACGCGGAATTTTTTTCACGTGTTGTCCACTTAAAAAAGTTGGGATATGAAAATGCGCCAACTTCTAGTAGAAAATCAAACTTTTTAAAGTTTTACTCTAGCAGATACCAAAGAAAGTCAAGTATTAATAAGTAAATAAGCAAACAACAGAGCTCGTAACATTTTCCTAATATAATTTCTTCGACTGTTAAAGTCGGTTTATGCAAAGCTAAACGGTTAAAGACTATATTTTTATAACAGCTTTGTCTTTACACCCCCAAGCAGAAACCTTCATCGCTAGTGATCAATAAATTTTATAGTGTTAAAGGAATGAGGAAGAGAACTCAACATTTTAGCTGCAAGTCTAAACAGCTTTGCTGTATTAATAACGAGAATAGAAGCTGATTAACAAATTATCAAAGCATTTTAGATGTAGCATGAGAACAGAAAATGCAATTATTACTTTTAGTTACTAACAATACACTTTCTTAGTTTATTATAAAAATCTATGCGTTTCTTGCACTAAGAAATATTTAAGTCATTCTTCCCTAAAATAAGTGCCTGATTCTATTATATCCTTGATAGTAATTAAGCGTCGTGCTACTTTCCTTAATTCAAAGTTTCTTTTTTCTAAATATTTTTTGTATTAAAAGTCCTGTTTCGTTTTAAGCCTTTATATAAAAATTCTGTTCCCACTTATGCATAGATATGACTCAGTTGTGTCTTATCTGCATTTTTGCACTAAGCTCTTAGAAGCCTTCCCTTTTTGTTTCTTTATATTCTCTATCTTTAATTCTCAAAGATTTAAATATAGGCGCTTACTACCTTCATTAAAGCCTACATTTTAGATGTGCAGATGCATTATTAATTTTTCTTTTACAATGTATTAGTAAAACTATGGAGGTTGTCTTTATGTTTATAATTTCAATTTTTACTATACACAAGATTGTTATCAGTAAACGTTTCCTAGCTTGAAGCGTTTATGTGAATATAAATAAACGTATGCATCAGGCTGCGCATAAATTTATGAGGAGATCAAGAATAGTTAAGTTTAACGTGTTTTTTAAGGTTCTAAAGCTCATAAACTTGAACTCTGGAAGGAATGAAGTAATGATGTTAGAACTAGAGAAGAAATTTAAAAGGTTCTTAAAAGTTTTTTTAATAAAAACTTAAAGAGTAAAAATGGCACATATTTTAGGTAGGAATAGAAATGGCAAAACTTGGAAGCAATAAATATAAATATTAACAATTACAAGCCAGCAAAACAGTAGGTATTAACTTTCAAATTCTGTATAGATATTTTAAAGGCTTCTTCTATGCTTACTAAGAAAAAAAATAATGCTTGCTCATCTAGTTAAGCCATCAGTACGCACTATTAAGTCTGCACCTAACTTTACGGTATCATGAAATTAGTAAAACCGAGTAAGCTACTATTCCTTCTGTAATAGTAATGTTACAAAGCTTCTATTAATGCATGTTGAATGTTTGTTTATTTAAAAGCGCTAATTTTTTTTTAGCAAATGAAAACAGACAAAATGTGTTTATAGTTAGACTATGTCAAGGTATAGTACAATTCATCGATCGCCACCAGTTAAGTAGTCTCTCTTTTACTGCATACTTTTTAGACCTTTAACATTAGTTGTAACTGAAAGTAAGAACGCTTCTCAACCGTACTGGAATTATCAGCATTATAAGTGAGGCTACGATGAAACTTGCATTGCGCGAGAAGTTATGAAGAATCTCTAAAAACCACCAAAAAACAGTGAGTTGAGCACAAAAAAAGATCTAGAGAAACATGAAGTAAATCTTTTTACCTTTTCTTCGTTCTTAAATATTGCATAAAACCTATCTTAGCTTTTGTTTTTTACCACAAACCTTAATAGCTATACAACTAATCTGCTGCAAGGTAAATTTATTATTAAGTTGGTGTTTTATTTCCTTTGTATATTATTTTTACCTGCTGTAATAGAGATAAATAATTTCATATTTTTTGTTTGTCATTCCTAACTGCTGCAGTAGAGAAAAAAATATTAACACACTGAAAAAATTATTTTTTAATGCACTCCTTAAAACTTTGTCTATTGGTGTTATTTAACACTGTATAAAAATTACCGTCAATAAATGGTAATGTATATTTACAAAAACTTTTTTTATTTCTAAATTTAAATTCTGTAATTATTACTGTCTAATAAGAAATTTTCATGTTTGATTAGTTTTTCTTTATTAGGTAAGCTCCTTAACATTGGGGTTTATATAAAATTTAGGGTTTTTACCTATCCACGGTTGCGGCGTTGTTTCTTTGTACAGAATGGTCGAATATTCCAGTTTGACTGTGTTGTGTTGTCTTCTTATTCTCTCATGTTTTTACTTAACCCAATCGTCTATTTTATGTTCTAATGCAGGAGGTTAACATATACTGCTCTATTCAATTTCGCAGTTGTACATTTTTTTTTGTGTATTTTGATGTAGTCTGTACTGGAACTATGGCTTATGCGGTATCGGTTGGAGTTGTCTCGACTTTTGCAACAGCTGTGCTGTTATTAATTCAGTTTTTCATGTCCGACAAACCTAAAATCATTGATATAGTCGCATCCGTGTTTTTATTTGTATGGTGGGCGGGTAAATCTTACTTTTTCAACCCTTTAATAATAAGAAAAATTAAAATCACAATTTCTTCCCTACAGCTGGAACTGGCGTCGGTACTTTTGAAGGACCTTACACTAACTTTGAATATGCGAATGGCTATCTTTCCTCTTGGATCGCTCTTGTTGTTAGTGTGTATTACTTTTTTCTCTGCTGCGGCTCCTCCTTCCGGAAAATTAGCCTTGAACACGATAGCGTCACTGCAGTTATCGGTGTCCTCCTTATTAGTACGTTGTTTTACATAATAGCCTCAGCAGTGCAGTGCAACAACTATTATTGCGGTGGCTACATCGGTAATTTTTTTTTTTAATACTGAATAATCGTATTTATTGTAAACTTATATAAGATTGTTAGCGTAATTTTATTTATATTTCTTTTTAAAAAGTAAACATCATTTTTACAGATTAGCAAACTTAATAGTTAATTAATTTTTATTAGGTTATAAAGAAATAGTTTAGCTTATATAAATTTAGCCTCATTGTTTTTGGTTTTTTTTTTACTTTGTACTTGAAAGTAAATAATATTAACTTAATCTTTACACAGTGGGATTAAATTTATCAAACACTTATAGTTTTTGTAAGCCCTTTTAGCCCAATTTTACACTTAAACTAGTCGCTTTCTTAACGTTAACCAAAAATATTTTAAAATTTAGAAATTTTTAATAGCTTAAAAAACAAGTTATCATGCAAGATAAATATTGTTCAAGATTTATACATGTACTTAAATTTACTATAAAGTTTGCATATATTTTTTTATAAATAAGAATTTTTGTATTTAACAATTTTGATTATTCTTTAATTATTTTTATTAGTACTACTTATAAAAAATGCTTTTGTAGCATTAACGGCTCGCTAACTGTTTTTATTACAATTCTTAGCTTATGCTATAGCAGTGGGAAGTGTTGGCTTTATTCTTACTATATTTCTCCTCATCCTCAAGATCTGCAAAATAGGTCACGCTTATAAATTCTCTGCTATTTTATTTTTTTAATAACATTTAAAATTCAATTATGATAACTAAATTTGTATTTGTAAAGTTTATTACTAAAATTGATGGTTTATAATCCTAAACAGTTGTAAAAAAAAATCACTAACTCCTCTTCTATATGATATACTTGTATACTAAATTGCCTTGCATTGAAACAGTTAATCTTGGATAATAATTTAATCGTTTATTCTAATACACAATGTTATCTGTTTCAAGTTAATTTTTACTAATCACTAATCATCTGAAGCCCAAAATATATTTTCAAGCAATTCATAATAATAAATAATCTACTTTTTTTATAGAATGGTTGTATAAGATTGGCAAGTACATTGCGGGATTTCTCATCTTGTGGTTCGCTATTGGAACAGGCATAGCCACCTTTAAAGCCCCATTTCCTCGTCTTGGCAACGGCTACTTCGGCGCGTGGGTCTCTTTCTTATGCTCGCTGTTCCTTTTCTCGATGGTTTATATATATTAATTTAATTAATTGCTACTCAATTTTTTATTATAAATTATCAACGTTGCTTTTTAAAATAATTAGAAACCATAACGAGTTTTATAATGTGAGTGATTTATATCTAAGTGTAGATCTCATTTTAATAATAGGGGCAGTAGATATGAAATTTCTTTACTGCAAATTTCTTTTTACTATAAAAATTTTTTTAAAGTTGAAAAAAATGGGTCTCGTCGCTTTATAGTACTTGAAATCCTTTATAGTATTTCTAAAAGATAGTTGACTTATTAATTTCTTCAAGATCACTCAATAATCGTGAAACAAATTTTTTAAACGAAAGTAAAATTTGCATTGCAACACCGAAATTCTTAACTAACTATCTAAATTTCGTAATCAGCGTTGTTTTATTATTATTATTATAAAACAACAAAAATTAAAATTGTTTTTTCTCTACATGAAAAGTTTTTAGAACTAAATTCTAGACATCTTGAATTGTAAAAGTAATAGAAGTCAGCGTTTCAAGGCTTAAATATAAATTTAACAAATGCTTGTGTGTAACAATTAATAAATTTTTTTATTTTCTCTAGCTATTCTTTAGAAAATAAATTCTACAATTTTTTTTATCTATTAAATCTTAAACATTTTAAATTCACAAGCTCGTTCCTGAATTATTTGGTGCAAGACAGCAAAGCTCTTCAAGTGCCCAACAAGCAACGGTTGGAGAGTCACAAGCTCATCAAGCTGATTCATATAATTAAATTTAATAAAATCTCTAATTTATTATATATAAATATAAAAGTTTTAAGCTTCTTATAAAGTTTTATATTAATAAATTCATTTACTCTCTAAAATTTTATATTTATATTTAAAAAATTGTGGTCATTTGCACTTACTTACCCTAATTTTTTAAGGGCACTTTTGTTAATTTCAGTCACAAAGCAGAGATCTTTACGTAGATTGCTTAACATTATAGCTAAAGCTAACAAACAGACACTGCTCGCTTCTCCTGTTCTTTAAAAAAAAAATGAATCTTTTTTAAATAGTTAAAAAGAGTTTGAATAAATAATAATTATCCTTAAATATTCAAGGCTTCTATAGTGAATCTTTTGCTTTCTATTCTATTTATTAGACCTTTACCTTGAAAATGTTAAGGCAACTTATGTGTAACTGCTATTAAAAACTAGATTGTTATAAAACAGCGGGAAACTTATCTAGTAATTTTTTTTTCTTATCTGTAAGGGAAGGGTGGCAGGATATAGTCTATAAGAAAAAAATATATATTAAATAATTTTGATTAATTCAACAAAACACTTGATATAATAAGAAATGGGTGGGAGCAGAGAAGGGAAAAAAAAAAGACGGCTATAAAATATAATAAACCTATTTAGCAATGCGATTTTATCCCACTTTTAGGACCATCTTGCGAAATTTAATAAAACAAAGTTAGAATCCCATATATATATATATAGTCTATCTAAAATTTAGTTAAACCAAGTTAAATTAGCTCTCACAAAGTCTTTCCCTTTTTTGCTTAAGTCATAAAGTTATGTTTTTGCTTGATCTTTGATAATTAAAAGTTTCTAAATATTTAATTGCCAGCTAGTTTGATTTATTTGCTATGGTAATATTCTGGTTCTGAAGGGAATTAAGTTTGAGCTTAGGTTAAATGTAAGCTTTTCCTAAAAAAAATTCTTTTATTCTTTAACTTCTCATAATAACTTTATATCCGTAATGTTATTTATTTTAATAGTTAATTTACTTTATCACTATTCTCAAAGCACTGCTCTAGTGTTTAGTTAGTCATTTGTAGATGGAACTAAACATCAAACCAACTTCTTTAGATAAAAACTTCGCTGACGCGCAGAAGCTCATTAAGTTTTTATTATTATTAATGATTTTTACAGATACTCGGTAAGTTGAGCGTCCCTTAGTCTTGATTCGGGCTCAAGTAGGCACCCCTTACAACTCCAGGAGGAGTTTAATGAACGCTCTGGTTTTCTAGGGGGAGTGCGGTATACCAACAGTTTGTTTGTAGGGAAGTCGAATCCGGCACCTCAAGATTTGCGGGACAACTAAGCTAACTATCGAGCTATGGTGACGACTCACATTTTCGGACGATAAATTTCGTATACGACTTTTGTTACAGTACGTTGTTAGTCTCCTCTTCACCCGCCCCAATACTATCCAAGTCCCCGGAGATTTGCCTTCTCAGATCGGACGATTTGAAGCGCTTTTCGCCAGTGCACTTCCCATCATAAAAGTTACCATTTATTTATTTTCTTATTGAACTGGCTTGTGACAAGCGTGACTTATAATCATTTGCTGCTTAACCTACCTTCCCTCTGTTAAATGAGGGTGCGGAAGCCATAAGTTCTGTAACAATTTATTGCGACATCAACAAGTTGAAGGGATGCGCTTTCATCACAGATAAATAGTATACATTAAGAACGACTTAATAGAAAATTAATAACAATATTACACGTAATGAAATAGTTAAGTTTTAATACCGTAATATTATTACATATATATATATCATAAATAAGTCAATAAAATGAACTAATTTTAGACATATCCCCCCTCTAATAGATCTAAGAAATGTTTCGATCGCGAATACTTGGTGTACCAGCGAGTGTTATAGATAAGAGGCTGCCTGCGGCGACTACTGGCTCTAGTTAGCCAAAACCATTTAATTTTTAAGGATATATCCTTGAATAGGCTCGAAATTAAACTCTCTATGTAGTTGGTTTGCACACAAACTAAGGGGCGTCCACCACAATTTTTAGAGCACGCTTTTATAGTATTTGAAGTGGGTGAATATGTTTGCTTGAGTATTGTGCCCAGGGAATAGAGGTATAAACCAACGGCGGTGCATAACTGATTGTATAATAGAAGCATGTTTTTTTAGATACTATTTGCTTTTCCAGCCTAGTAAGAGATATAAAACGGCTAAAGCTTTCTGGTTTCGAAAATGACGTAAGAAAGATCCAAGTCCAGCTTAGTCTGTCTTCAAGCAACTCCGAGGTAATCAACCTTCTTCCTTCGAGGAATGACATTTTGGTTTGGTGAAAGATTAGGGCCAGGGAAAAGAAACCTTGTTTTAATGATAAAGCTACTTTCCAACGCGTTATTATTAATCCCCATGTTGGAAACATGTCTTAAGTGCTGTCAGATAAGACTACGTGTTTAACACCAGCCAGGCAAATTGTGCCTATAATGCAAGACTGTGTCATCAGCATACTGTGCTAAATTTATTTTTAAGAATTGTGGTATTTGGACATGTGGATAAAAATAGTAAAGGGGATAATAACGTGCCTTGTGGGACACTCATTTTTATTTGTCTAATAGCGGACTTCTACGGATTTACTAGCTCATTATATCTAGCTTGAATTCGTTTACATCCTTTATTTATTTTTTATAATTTTTTTATTTAAGAACTGTGGCTACAACGAAAGTAGCCTTTCTAAAGTTATGTAAAGAGTAGTTTTTTTTAACTAGAGTATTATTTTATAAAAAAGGGATAAAAAACCTTAAGCAGTTTTTCTAATAAGTAGGCTTTTAAGTGGTTTAAAAAAAATAACTCATATATGCGTTCATACAACCCAAATAGAGTTCTTGCTTTTTTGTTCTTTGAAGCCATTTTAAAACAAGAAGGTATGTGCTTAAGTATTCAAACATAACTGAACGTTGAGCTCTAATATAAAAATAAAATGGTAATAATAAGGTAATTATATAAGGAAAAAATTGTTTTATTGGTTTTATATGTATAAACATGTTACCTTGCATAAAGTTGCTTATACTTTAGTTTTACTAGCTAATGATAAGAATTATTGTGTAATAAGGGATCTGAGCAGTTTTAGTAAATTGTGACGACATTATTTTATCCGATTTCTATAATTATCATTACATGTGCGCATTTTTAAATAAACTTAACCACCTGTTAGGCCCCTGCTCCATCAGAAAATGGGGAAACAATTATTATGGATTCAGTGCGGTATTAAATTTCTCTTAACTGAATGCAGCTAAACTGACCTCATATCTAAGAAAACGAAGGTCCTGGTATCTCAAGTTCTCCAATTCGAAACACAAATTGAACAGAGTACAGTTTATAAGACTAACCTTAAGATTAATATCTTTTAATTAAGTGACAAGCGCGTTACTGTCATTAAAAAACTGAGAAAAAGTTAAACAATATCGTGTAAGTGAAATACATACAAATAACATATTCAAAACGTTCATTCACTATTGCGATTTTTAGCGGTTTAAGGCATCGAGGAGGTTCCAGACCTGCCCAATGCGCCTCTTTTCAGGTTTTTTGGTGAAATGCGTATTCAACACCACCCCCACAAATTAAAATAAAAAAGATTAAAGTATTAGCCGAGAACCCGCCAAAGAGTAGTTAAAAGCATCGTAACCGAAATATATTCATTAATAGCTGCAAAACGCAAAACTATAATTCAGCCTTGAACTAATTTTAATATAAAATTTTATTAACGGAAACCACGTATAAGTAATTTTTTTTAAAAAAAAACTATTAAGAAAATATTCTAACACTCAAATTAATTGTCATAACAGAGTAATATTTATATAATGGATTAATATCATCCTGTTGTAAAGTTATTACAGACAGAAAACCAGTGGGTAAAGTTAAACTCTTAGCAATACATTAACATCTATATTAATATGATATTTTTATAAATGCATCTATAATTTTTTTCTCCTTTTTTTTTTAATTTGCTACTGACCTAATATATAGTTTTTTCGTGATTTTGTAGTATTTGTATATATAATTATTTCTTATTTCTTTCCTCGATAAAATTATAATAATTATATATATATAAATATTGTATACTCTCGCGCGAGATTAGGTCAAGAAACATTGAATTTTAGAGTTTTTAACAAGGTGATAGCGTACAAATAAGATTTATGCTTAAATTTAAGCAATCTTATACATAAATATACCCCATGTATGCACCTTCTGCCTTAACCGCTATTAATACAAAAAACCTTAAAAAGTCTTAAGTGCGCCACTTCATTGGCTGATAGATTTACGTTAAAAAGCGATAGCCAGTGGCTTAAAGCGGAGTCCTCTGCTGTAAAAGTTTGTTTTCAAGAGCGTAGCAGTCTTTTTGTCTCACATGGAGCGATGATGCTTTTGTCATCATGCAACAGTCATATATTGGGCAAGTGCATTGCTATGATGAATAAATAATTTTCAGTAGGATCGTCTTCTCCTGATATAATGATTGTTCACTAAGCTCTATCTTGATAACAATAAAAATCTGCTTGTTCAAGACTCCGACTGCATTATTTCAGACTAAAGGTCACGCATTATTTGTGGAAAGATAAACCTTATACCGAGTTTTAATAAAATAAGTTAATTATTTAGTTAGAAGCCTCGTATCGTTAAAAGATAGCTCCGTCCTGTCGAGAAGCTTCCAAGCTCGTTGCCTACAGAAGATATTAATAAACAGTACTAGTAAATTTACTCCTATTTATTAAATTAGAGTTTCCTTATTCTATCTATTTATCGCAAAACCTTCGCATTCGCTTTAATAAATAATTATAACGTTCTCAACTACAAAAGAAGTTAATATATACTTATCTAGTAAATACTATTTGTCAAGCAAAATTTTATAAGATTTTTGTGAGTTAAAGTAAAATTTATTTCGCTGGTTTATTTATTAAAGTTAATTTAATTCTTTAGACAATGTTCTTTCTTATATCTTTGTGGTGTAAGATGTTACCTCCGCTGCGCACTCGCTTTACTATAAAGAAAAATTTTAAATATTAAGCGGCCTGCCTTCTAGTAAACTGTAATTATTTAGAAAAAGGAGTTATATGTTTAAAATACGTAATAATTTTAACGACCTAACTCTAAAAAATTATGTTCGCATTAGTAATAAGTTAAAAGTTTATAATACATTCCTGATAAGATAAACACTTTTTATCAAATATATAAAGAATACTTAATTCAGAAAAACTTTTCAAAACTACCAACAAAATATCTTAAAAAAATATTTTCCGGAGAGCCTAGATTAAAATATGTAGTTTAACCTATTTTTACTAGGAAAGATTATTAGTTTTTATTTAATGAAATTTAATTTTCAATAGCTCCTACTTACCAGTGAAATATAGTGTTTATGTTAAGATACAAGTTGTACCAGACATTTAGAAAGTTTTTACCTCTTATTATTTTAAAGATTTTAATTCGTCCTCTGCTACCTAACAACTTATTAATAACTAAAGTTAGCCACTGTTTTTTAAGAAGGTAAGTTAATAATAGTTAACGCACAATTAAAAATCATTATAAAATTGATGTTCTTAAGTAAAAATTGTAAAAAAATTCTTATTAATACATAATAGACAAAAGCCAAGATAAACTTTATTCCTGCTTTATTATTTTCCAACAGAACTCTTTCAAATACTAATTCTAGTAACCTATTTCCAATGAGGAACCTAAATATACGAAAAGACACTGATTAGCACAGCAAATTGCCACTAGGTTTTATATATTTATGGAATAGCTTAGTAGTAAAAATTAAGCTTACAAATACTAAGGACGGATCTTCCTATTCCATCTATAATAATTGTAAATGCATCTGAAATAATTGCCAAAACCACTTTCCTCTGTTGGTTTAAAAATCTGAAAATTCGCAAGCTATACAATAAAAAAGGTTTAGTGCTCGTGTACTCAAACATGTTTATAACAAGAAACTCATTCTAATACTAATAGATGATATAGCTAATATACACTATATTATACTAATACTAAATAAATATGGTAGTTACTTAATTTTTTTTTAAAATGTACTGATAAAAGTAAAAACTTATAAAAGAGTAAAAGTTAAATATAAAAGATAAATTTTTCCTTAAATTTTTAAATTTTATAATATTCCCCTAAAATCACAAAGTTAAAAGATAAATCTGCAAGCTAATATAAAAAGTTAACGAAAGCTTCAAGTGATACGTGATAGTAATTTGCTGGAGAAGAACTTCTATGGAAATTATTATTAATGAAACTTTTATTACCTAAAATATTAACATAATTTTTTGCATACTTTATGTTCTACGATAACAATGGTTATGTATCAGTGAACTATGTCATCAAAATAAATTATTAGTACCGCTTCATAGTAAAAGCAGGGATCTGCGAAGAGTTGCACGTTAAGTTATTATAAAATGGTTAAAAATTACTGAAGACTTTATATATCTAGCTACTCTTTTCTTAATAGTAATAATTTAAGTATATTATAGTTCTTACTTGACCTTAATTCGAAGAAGTTGATTATGAAGGGAAGACTTGTCACCAAGAGAGATACCACAATAACCAAAGTAACATAAACTCCTACGTTTTAAAAATATAAAAAAATTCAATTAATATTAAACTAAAAGTTCATGCACATTGCAGCTGAAGTAGAAAATTATATTAACGGATATCAAACTTTTGTGATAGCTTTTTGAGCTTTTTATTTATCTCTGATGGATACACGTCTGAAAGTAAAGTACTCTCTCAAAAGAGGCTTTAATTCTGCACAAATCGTTACTATCTCTTGTCTAAAAAATCTTAGAGCGTGTTATGGATTTTAATTAAGTAAATGGAATCTTTAAATAAAAGCGAACTCAGGCAGAGCACAAAATCTTCTCCTAATTATCGCCGGTAACCAATAACTTTAGAAATTAAGGTCTCTTTAGAAAATATGTTTACCTCGCATCCTTGTAAAAAAATTGCAAATGCCATGTGTTGATGTTAAAAGTTAACCTCTAGTATATCTTTAAGAAACAATCGACAAGAGGGTCATATTATTATTGGCTGGTAAGAAAGTATACTTCTACGATAATATAATTAATAAACCTTTCAAAAATTAAAAGTTTCAGCTTTGGTATTTAATTTAACTAACTTAACCTAATAGCCTTACAGCGCTGTTACTATAAAATATTAATAAAAAATATTTAAACGTACTTATAGTCTTAGGTAAGATAGTTGTTTTTACAGCTCCTAGCTTGAGAAACCAGAATTATCATCTATTTTGCATTCACTTAAGTTTTAATTGTAACCTGACAAATAAGAAATGTTTAAGAGGGCTAATGCCTTCATTAAAGCTAACTATAAATTTTGCTTATTTTACTTGTATTAGTGATTCTATTGCTAGCTAATATTTTGAGAGTCACTAGATATTAACAAAAAAAGTTGTTGACTTTTGTAAAACCCACCATTTATTAAAATAAAATAGTAAGGAATGTCATCGTAATAGCCACCTATCTTCATTTGTGACTAGCAAACTGAATCACCTTATACTTGACATGTTAAAAGCTGCCCTAGTAATAATTTATAAATAAATTCTTTTCTACTAAAGTTTTTTATTGCTTTAATTGTATCTAATATATTAAAGACATAATAATGAACTTCTTTAGAAATTTTTTCCTACCAGAATTCTTTTTTTAATATTATAAGAGAGGTGGTCTTTACCACCATTATAAAAAAGTAAAAGAACATTAAGGAAATCAGGATTCAGGAAAGCCCAAAAATTTTCCTAAGTTGAACACGTGTACTTATGTAACTATAAGGCTAAGTCAAATGGTTTTCAAATTTTTCGTTTACACAAGCTAAGTTCAATAAAACTTACTCTCGCTTTCTTTTCAGTGTTACGATAGAGGAGCTATAGTTAATCCGTAAGATTTACGCGTATAAGAGCTTTAAATAGCAATTTATAAATTACAAAAGTAACTACCGCCTATCATGGCGTATAGGAGGAGCAGACCAAGTTCAACCCTTTTTAGGCAGATCAGTGTAATTATATAAAATAGGAGTCCAACAACTTTAATAAATAAAGCTTAGTACTTTAAAAAAGAAAATTTTATAGGTGATGTAAATCTTAGCAACCTATTTATTAATTTTTTAATGTTTTACTGCATTTTTTGTAGGGGGTTCCTTTTGATTTGGAGCTCGTAGTTGTGGGGCCTAGCTAAACTTTATAATGACTAATCTTTTAGGCGCCTCTTCCGGTAAATAGGTACTCTTCCACTACTTCACAGCCTTCTGGAGTTTTACTGACTATACTGCCATATAAGCCAAGACAAATGCTGTCTTTGCTCGATTTAATGAGCACTGCAAAAGTAGAAAAAAAAATAAAATGAAGGGATATAAAATAAATTCAAGGGAGATATAGTGAGCTGCTGCGCGTCAGCAAGGTCTTTAGCTAAAGAAGTTGGGCCGTGTTTGACTCCAACTGCCAACGACTAACTAAACACTAGCGAAGTGCTTGAGAACAGATGATAAAGTAAATCAACACTAAAGAAAAACTAACCTTAAAGATATAAAGTTATTATGAGAAGTTAAAGAATAAATAAAATTTTCTTTAGGAGAAGTTTACGTTAACGTAGACCTAAATCTTATATTCATTCTGTTAGTGAGAACCAGAATTTACCATTATAACAAATAAACTAAACTAACTCACTATTAAACAAATATTTTGTAAATTCTTATACAAAGCCCATAAAAAAAGATAACGTTCTGGCTATAACAAAAACAGGGAAACACGTTATGAACTAATTTTACATTGTTTTTACTAAAATTTGGAAAGACAATATAGAAAGATATCTAATTTGTTTTACTTAAATTTAGCAAGATAGTTCATGAAAGTGGGATGAAAATGCAGTTCCAAATAGTTTTACTACATTATATAGCCGTTTTTACTTTTCCCTTCTTTGCTCCAATCTACTCTTCAAAATATGTATTATTGCGTTAAGTTTGCTTTTTTTTCATGCATTAAAATAAAGTTTACTGGCTACTCATTTTAATTATTATTTTGTTATCTCTATCCTTTGAGCTTATATTACTTTTTTATAAAGGACTATACTAATAAAAAAGACCACTCTTTCCACAACTATAGAAAGACTCCCTTCGTGTAGTCTCAGCTCTCAAATAAAAAAAGTAAGCGCACTTAATATATATAATCACTCTATTCTCGTAACACCTCAGTAATATTTTGCCTAACTTTTTTTATTGTTAAAGGTTAATATTATTAAATCCGGCCCAAGGTATGATATTAGCATTATATATTTCTTTAAATTTGAAAGTATAGTAGTTAAAGGGGTTACGCAGTACGACTGGCGAATCTGTACTTTTATAATGAAATAAAATAAAGTAATCAATCGACTTTTTATAATTTTTTATATTTTACTTTTTTCTAACTTTTTAAACAAAAAGAAAATAGAGCAGGGCCTTCTTGCAGAACTTTTAATTGACTACGACGCACCCCCCCAAGTAGGCACGCAAGTCGTTGGACCAACTATTTGTACCACAAGTTCTAAGCACAAGGCCCTTTTTATCAAGAGTTAATACTTCATCTAGAGAGTGTTGGCAGTCTTCAAGTTTTTTAAAAGTCCTAAATCTCGTAGGATTGGTTGAATGAGCTATACACCATGCATTTGATCCATTGACGCGGTTTATTACTACTTGCAACCAATTGTCTACAGTAATGAAATGAATTCAATTGCAACATCACCGGTTTAAGTAAGCAAAAGACTAAACGTACTTCTGTGAATACAGTGGCGGGAAGTAATTTTATAACATAGGGCTACATTTTTTTCTTTGCTAAAAAGTGTAAGAGCGGTGGACAGAACGCTTTCCCCAAGAGCAAGTACTAGAACATACAAGTAATAAAAAAAAATTATTATTTTTATAAAGTTTACTCTACTTAGAAGTAGTGAATTGTAAGGATTAATATTTTTAAATACTTAATACAATACCTGAAAGCAAGGTAAAACCTATTCTATGATTAACTACAGAAACGTGAAGGCACTCTTTTAAACTATGGAAGCTGGCACAAGTTTGAACTCCGAGGGGTGAAAGACAAAGTACGTTAGCGCTGTTATGGTTAAAGTAGTCCAGAAGCATTATTAAAATAAGAGAGTGTAAAGTTAGCAAAAAATATTTTTTTAAGCATATGTACCACCGAGTAATACTCAAAACAAGTGGGTAGTTGGTTATGCTTCTACTAAACTTGTCAAATATTTTGTTGTAGTTATAATTTAACATTTGGTTTAAATACTATTGTTTTATACTTAATTAAGTTTTAACAAAACTTCAAATTCATGCGCTTTTTTATACGTAAAAGCAGTTTTCACACGATAAGCGCTTAGAGGGAGTAATTGCAAAGTGCAATTATTAGTACGCTAATTTATGTAGTAGTTGACTTGGATGCTGGTAAGTAGTATAAAGAAATGGTGGAAGTAACGAGAAGGCTAGTTGGCATTATTTGTTTTAAAATTATAAAGAAACTTTACATTTTAAAGCCTTGCTTCATTCCCATAAACTTCCATATTAGAAACAAAACTAGTACAAACTTTACCATAGACTTTCATCTCACCAAACTAATTTTATAAGTAATTACGTCTCAAGCCTTTAAAGTTCTAGTTTAACCCTTGAGCACAGGAATAAATGTAGTAACTTCTAAATCTCGTTAATTAATATAGTAATTCCCAAAACGATAGTAACGCTATAACAAATAAATACAGAAAATATACTAAGCCGGGCTTACCCAATATGTAATACAGAGTAAAAACAGCCTGAAAGTCCAACACAAAATTTGAGCATGGCCCCACGTTTGTTTCTCCTGCAACTTCTAGCAGTGCGGTCGACTATTCCTGATCTAAAAGTATAGCCGACCTCATTCATATTTATAAGTGTTGGAACACCGCAGGGAGCAGGAACAACAGTAGCATTTAATGCCACCGTAACATTAACTGATGGAAGAACAACAGCGTTTCCTTTGTTAGTAAATAGAAAAAAGGCACTCAAGAAGAGGAGCACGCGTTTTGTTAAAGATAACATAATATATTTTAAAAATTATGGGTACTCGTCAAATGCATATTTTAGCTTCAGTACTTATACCTACTTTAAACTGAATTATTTAACGAAGTTGCTATACCTTTGTTGTACTCGCTATTTAATTAGTAAACTAGTTTTAAATAATCATTAATATGCTGCGATGGAATCAAGTCAACACATTTTATTATTTATTACTATTGGTTAAATTAAATAAGGTTTTTAACCAGCATAGTTTATAGTCGATGACTTCCGAACCTATCTTTTTAAAATGTTGATTTTAAATTTTTTAAGGGTTTCAGTATTAGGAATTTTAACAGCTTTAGTTTAAAATTATTTTATTTTACATTAGTTGGCTCCTTCGCCTGTTTCCATAGTTTTCACTTTAATTTTTCTTCACTCCAACACTTTAGTTTAGTGCTTATAAGTACAAACATGAATAGATACAAAAATTAGCGGATTTTCATTTTTTTTTAAATAATAAAAGACGCTTGCGGTAATATTTTGTTTATCAACAATAAGTTATGATGTGTGCTAATTTATAACGTCATATATCAAATTGCAACTGAAAAATAAAGATGTACAACCAAACAAAATTTTAGGGTATCTTAATAAAAATTAAATTTTTTTTTATAAAACTATTGATTATAAATTATATATAAAATAAAGTAAAATTTTCTCTCAAATATAAAAAATAAAAATATATTAAAAGTAAAACAATTATAATTTTTTACGTAATTTTGATAAGGTTAGTTAAAGCTAGCAAATTAGTTAAAATAAAATTTTGTCTTTAATATTAAGGGATTTAATAAAACACAATTTCCTATAACGTTATGACGTCTTAATTAAAATGTTATAATATACTTTAAGCTTAAAGATTAATCACATTAGTTGTAGATACTATCGTAATCTTCATGTACTTGTAATGAACCAAAGGTCTACGCAACTGTCTGAGCGATAATGATATATATTTTTTACAATATAGTATTTTACTTTGTTTGAAGGGCCCTTGAACGTTCTTCAACGAGGTTAAAAAGAAATGATGTACTAAGTGAACGGTCCATTAATCTTGTGTATTATAATTCATGTGGTTACCATAACTATATTTAAGCCACTACATTAATTTAACTATTTTAACTTTTATTTAATAAATTAATAGAAGATGAAAAGTGGGTTAAATGTAAGGCCAAGGATTTTAAAGTGCACAAGGCTATCTATCTGCAACCCTGTGCAATTCCAGATCTTGTAAGATTTAGTTTTACTTATTTAATACCTAGTAAAAAAAGAATTTTTTTATTTAATTAAACAAATGACTTTAAAAGTGTTTTTACCAAATAAAGCTGCTAAAAACTTAAATCTTATTTCCCTTTCCTATAGTTATCTTATCTTTATGTTATATAAAGCTTAGGAGAAAAGGCTCATTGCCCGTTTCTTAAAAACACAGAAGGTCATGTCAATGCTTGAGTTACTGTAGGGTTTAGGAAATAAAAGTTAGTATAAATAAAGCGCATAAATAAAGTTGTTTCTATGAATAAGTGTATAATTAAAAAAAATTGTTATAAGATTTATTGCTAACTAGCAGGGACAGTTTCATATGGGGGAGGTGGACCGCTGGAACCAAAGGGCTACCTAAGCTGATGGAGTACGGAAAACCTTCTAGTATAAATTAATACTAAGAGCTGAAAAGAATTAGTTAGTTTGAAAAATGCGTTTAGTATTAAACTTATTAACCTAAGAAGTAGCTCCCATAGCCCTGATCAGTTATCACAAGGTTTATAGAAAAGATTGGAGCTTGATAACTGTTCATCGCATCTGATAAAAACTAGAGGGTAATAAACTTGACAGAGATGTCGAAATAATTTAGTAACTATGAGAAATATTGTTTAATAATGCAAGAAAGAGTAGGAAAACTAAACTCATAAAGAAAATAGCAAGATCCTTTTATAATTTACCAGGTCTAAAGCTTATAGGGCTTGTTTTAAAATAATTGAATAGAAAAACGGATGCGTTAAGATGAAGTTTGATATGGACCACAAGGAGTATTATTAAAATAATTAGTAAATAAAAAAGAGTTAGGTATAAAACAACATCTTTCTGGATTAAAGCTCATGTATATTAGTTAATTCAATGATTATTGTTGAGTTTAAAATAAATACCGTTATTACAGAGTTAGTACATTATCATGTAGGTTGTTTAATATCAAACTTGGTAAGTCATTCTTATGAGCTCTAGAAAGTTTTTCTGTGGAAAATTTACAAATTTCCGGTTTTTTGCCATTTATATTAACGTATTAAATATGTGGTAGCGATGCTTTTAGTGATATAAGAAGAACAGTTTATAAAATTGTTAAGTTTAGATTTAAAATAATATTAGTAGTTATTCGAGGGATACAATCTCCAGTACGTGTAGATGCAAACGCCTATAAATTTGTTAAAGATTTTACCTGCTTAATTTAAAGTAATCAGTGCACATCATGGTCATACTAACTACGTAACTTATTAATTTATTATTTAATATCGAATAGAAAGATAATTACTGAGAAACAGTATTTAAATTTTTTTAATGTAAATAAAAGATGAAAGTATGGCAAATGTGTTTCATAAAAAAAAGCTTTAGCTTATCTCAAGGATCCAAATACCTATACTCAATATTTCAACAGTTGTAGTTACTGCGTTATATTAGTAGTAAAAGATATACCAAAGTTTTTAATAAATCTTAATAATTTACTCATTCTCTTTTAAAATTTACTTTTTAGTGAGAAACAGATTTTTTTTTTAAAAATATTGCTCATGTATGATCGAAATATAATTATGCCAAAGGCCAAGAGAACTTTTTAAGTAATTATACTATTTACTTGTAACAGTATTAGTAATTCTATGTCATGATATTTTAAGCTGTCTTTTAAATAAAAACTTTATGAGTAGCAAATTCATCATTTATAATTTGTTGGATTAAATTTTTTGAAAACCATCTTCTCTGTAGGATAACATATATAATGTTTAAAAAAAATAACTATAGTTACATAATATATTTTCAACTAATTATATTTCGGAGTAGACTTTACAGTTTCATGCTAGAAAGCTATTTTACACACTTAAGTTGCTTTGTCATGTCAACGACATTCTTATTGCAAACGTCAGTGAAAATTTTTGTTAAGTTTTCTGAGATACTTAGAGCGCTACGCTGAGAACTAAGATTCAGTAATGTACTTTTAGTTAGTTGAGCAAAACTTGATAATTTTTGAAGGCTCTAGAGAACTAAGCTACGACAGATACTAACCCTGCTTGCCTGCTAGCTTTTTCTGAGTGTTAGTTATTAGACACACCGGCCAAATCCAAAAATAGCAACAGAACGCCGAACAAGGATAAAGTTCCCTTTAGCAGGAAAAGGGCTTTCACAGGTTCACCTCACATTCCATCACTTTGGATTAGTTGTTACTCCTAGGTTGACACTGTCAAGGTTAGTAGCTGTGAAAAGTGTTTATGAATATCTCCTAACCCTTAACCCCTAACCTAACCCTAACCTATCTTATATATAAAAGTTAAGAATAAATGTAAATAAATTTATTAGACAATATTTATATGACATACATCGTTAAGGCTACTCACTCACCACATTGCTCCCCCCCAAAAAACATAGCAAATGTTTTCTTCCTGCGGAAAATTCGCTATCTTTATTTATAATTGCCCGTATCCAACGCACTCTATACGAGAGAAATGTTTCTAACAGGTTACATACGTAAAATCATCATACTGGAACGATAATTGTCGTGGTAGCTAAACGGGTAAAAAGAATGGCGCACATATTCAAGGCGGTTTTTATAATGGTTGCATACTTAACCTTGCCCTTATAAGATTTTAATAATCTCTTCCAGTTCACCTTCACAAGCAAGTCGCTATTAATGCCGATGTTACGATAATTTATTCGTAGTCAAAGTCTCCAATTTTACTAATTAACATCTATAATTTAATCTCGACGTGCTATCGTCAGTGGGCCCTTTTAGTTAACGCAGAAAAGAGCAAGGCGCCTCTTATAAAGAAGAAATGCCTTGCGCTGCTGACATCGTTGGCTTTCATTGACTTGAAAATCCCGTGGTTTTTAGATAAATAGCCCTTGGCATCCTCACGTGAATCACGAGAGAGCAAAAGTCTAGACTGCGACCCAGATGCTATATCCCCTACAGTGCAGGAAAATTAAGCTTTTGTCCACTGACGGGGGTTCTTAGTCGAGAAGGCTTAACTGGCGCATTGCTGGCTACTCTCTAGGTGGCCCTCTGGCTTGTACTTGAGGGTTACGCCGGTTTTTTTTTTTCCATAACTCTTGGTCGAGTGACGGGAGTTTAGGGACGATATACCTCCGCTACCCCCCAACACTTCTGGGGAGTCATAATACTCGCTCAATAGAATGCACCGTCAGAGCCCAATCACTCTTAGAGGAAAGGAAACCAGATTAGGCGGTGTAAAATCTTAGTACTGACCGGGGGTATGCCAGTGTTACAATGAAAAAAAGGAAGTTTTTATAGCGCAGTAGGCGAAGGCGGTAGGTATAGTGCCTTCTGCAGATCGTGTCATGTGCGTCTGCTGCTTAAACCTACGACTTCCCGGCAAAAGTATTCTCGTTTTAAGTTAAATAAAAGAAACCGCAGCGCCGCCTTGGTTTGTACGAAGACGAGTTGAGCCGCTGGACACAATCTTTAAAAATAAAAAGTAACGCCATCGCCCTTACAAACAGTAAGCTGGACACTTTAGGCGTCCTAAACCGTAAGCATTTACTTACTAGTCAGAAAAGTCGTGCGTATCGGTGCAATGCTAAGTTGAACGGGTTTAAGTTAAATATGAAGCACCTCTTAAACTTAAAATAACTTGTACCGGAGGGAAGTAAGCTAGTTTAAGAGCCCGAGTATTATTAGAAAAAAACGCGTTCACAAAAGTTAAATTCTTTATCACACCGCCCACAGGAGGCAAAAATCTTAGAATAATAATAGCAAAAGCAATGGGAAGTTCCTATCATTCTGCCATTAACAACCATCACCATGAATATTTTTTTATAAAGTTTAAAGAGCGTTAAGGTTAGTAACAGCATTAAATAATGAACTCTTATTTTTACCTTTTGATCACTATAAACCTTTTTTATATAATACTGCAAGTGTTTTTCTATAAACTTCTGAAATCAGCACAGAATACAAAAATCTATTTAGTCAGTATGTACGAAACAGGAAGGACAACTGGAAATTTTTTTCTAATTTAAACTGAATTTCAAGTAGTACGCTTACAAACTAAATTTACTATAGTGTTGTAAAGGTTGGATTTCTAGATTGTATACCTTACTATAACAATCTTGTTTGTTCTTTTCTTTTATCTCTTAATTTTGTAATCAATGCCTGTAGTATTATAAAAGTTTTACTTGAAAAAATTATACTTTACTCGTAAGTCTAATTAATTCCAATAGAATGTAAAAAAACCGTAAATATCATAAAGTAAATTAATAAACTTTCACAAAACGTATAACGAAATTAACATGTAAAGATTATCTTTATTACACAATTAAAAATAGTAAACTAGATATATTTTATATACACATATATTTACTTATAATTTTTTTATTTTTACTCAAATTCCAGTAATAACGGAGTCGACATACTCGTAAATTCTCTTTGCATAATAAGCCGGATTTACAGTTGATACTTCAGCTTTTGTCTTTTATATAAAAATTAGTTATAAAAAAGAATTATTAAATTATTATTATTTGTATTAAAAGAATTTATGAGATTTTTATACTCCGTATTTTATAGACTTTGCTGAATGAGCAACTTTTTTTCGGTGGGAATAATCAGTAAGACAGTTTTTCAAGCCGAAAAAGTACAATTCTAATAATAATAATATTAATAAATAATAATAATAATAATATTTCACTCACCGTTATTACTTTGAAGAATGCGAGTATTTTCCGCTTTTATATAAGTTTGAGGGTTTTCTGCTACACCAAATAACAAACTTCGATATAAAATATATTTTAATTTATTAAAGTTTGTATAAACATAAGATAACTTAGAAATATTAAAATTTGGAAATTCCTTAATAAAATTTTAAATAAATTTTTTAAAAAAAATTTTAAATTAAGTAAAAAATAAAGTAAAATGATTTATAAAAAGAAGAAATCATAAGCACAACTTTTTAATATATATTTAAAATTTTGTTAAGCGTAACTAAGCATTTATAAAAATTTATTTTTGTTAATAAAATTCTCTATTAACGAAATTATTGAAAAAAAGCTAATGAAAATTAGTTTAAATAATAATTATTAAAAAAAAATTATAATGGAATTGTAATGAAAACAAAACTTTTTAAATCAAGAGCGAAAATAAGAAAGTCGGGGCTACGCCGCGCACTTTCGCTGTTAGCTAAACAAGATTAGTTTATAGTTAAATTAGATCACAACATGTGTATATATGCAAAACCTTTACAATTATCTTAAAAAAATTAAAAAAATATAACAAAAAATTAGCAAAGAAACTTTATAATACAGTTTATCAAACATATTTATTAAAAAAATTTATTTTCGTTTGTTTGGATCATTAAAATTTATTAAAAAATTATTAAAAGTACTCAAGTTTTTAATTGAAAAAGGATTGCTCCAAGTAAAAAGTTTTTCTTTTACCATTTTTAATAAATAAATAAAGTAAGTATTAAATAATTATACTGTCATATCTGCGAAGTAGTAAAATCTTAATATTAATTTAAAATAGAATGGTAAATTAAAATATAATAAACCTTAAACTTTTTTTTTATGATAAACAGTTAACTAATTACAAGTTGTAAATAATTAAATTTAAATCCTTTTCTTTGATAATATTATACTTTTATTAATAATGGAATGAAAAATGAAAAAATTAAATGAATTGAAATTGTAAACTGGTTTATTTTTCCTTCATACCTATAGTCCATTAATTTATTCTGAGCAAGAAAATCTGTATCACGAAGAAAATCCTAAAAAGTACGAGAGTGCTTAACTATAAAATTTAGAATTTTCTTAAATATATGTAGAACCTCCTTAAATTCTTTAACCTCTGCACTCGGAAGTATAAGTTTCCTTCGAGCCTGTCGAAAATCGTTATCCTTCAAGACTACATAATAAAAGTTTAGAAGATCTGCAGCACTAGTAATGTTTATTTAAAATAAACTCTTAATAAATTCACAAAAGCAATCTTTAAATTCTAGTGAGAATAAACTGAAATTGCAATAGTAAACGGCCTTAATGTAGTAATATTATTTTAAATATATCCAAATTTTAGTAATATTTGGTGTAAAGCATAATAAGGCATTATAACGAATAGAGAATTTTAAAGGACGGTAAGATATGTTCAACTCTTGAGTTTATAAATGACCAGGATGAGCATCTTCATGAGGGGAGCCCTCTTTTTTCCGTTCTTTTGAAGTTCTTTCAACTGTAGATCCCTATATAAAATACGCCAAAAAAAAAAGAAAGAACAACATAACTATAAACTTTATAGAAGTAAATCCGTTATATATCGCAAACATAAAAAGTTTCACTATTTCAGTAGGCAAACCCCATCCCCCAAAATACATAATATACTCTAAAATGGCTCCTTTTAAAAAAAGTATAAGAGGAAAGCGGCTCATTAGGATTGTAACGATAACTTATAAAAGACACTCACATAAAATAATTTTATGCAAAAAATTTAGCAAGTTATAGTGCCAGCTGCGGGTTTAAAATAAAATCCTTCATAAAAATTATCACTATCTTGAATAATTACAAGAACAAGAAAAATATGGGACCAGTAAAATATAAAAGTATTCACATAAATATAAGCATTTTTCTTTTAATTTATACCTTCAAGCCATATCTTTCCACCACTTTAAAAGTAGAAAATATATTATTCATAACTAACAGGTGTTTGGAGGACAGTTGTTTGCTAAAATTTAGTTGCAATATAAGTAATTAAAAAATTTAACTCAAGATCACAATTTTACCTTTTCACTCGATAAACTCCAAAGTAGCGTGGAAGTAAAGTTTTAGACCAATTTTCAACTACGTACTTATAATAAAAACTTAAGGTTTAAAAAAAAAGGAAGTTCTATAATGATCAGTTAAGTTGGTACGGAAAAAAAATCTTAACAATTTATGAAGTTAAAGAAAATAAACTCTATTTTACGTCTCTATAAGAGGAGAGATGCTTGATAAGACAGTGCAACTCTTCTTTAGCTATGCATTTGATTATAAACTTCTTATCTAGGGAAATAAAAAGATTCGGATCGCTCCTTTTGGTAACATATACTTCAATTTGATTTTCCGATAAAGAACGCAAAAAGTTTTTTTCCGTAATTCTTGAAATTATTATGGGTAAAAGTTGCATAAAAATGAGCAAAGCCGGTTAAAAGGTCTTTAGTTAGTATAAAAGCTTCCTAAATGCAATTTAATATACCCAAATCTGTTGCGCAAATCTCGAAAAACTTGAGGACAAAATTCTTTAAAATTAAGACGATAGCTATAAAATTTATATAATTAAACCAAGTACCTTCTTTATAACAAAAAGAAAAATTTACTTTTCACTTGAGGTGAGATGGTTAACTAATATTAATTTGCTGTAAGCTTTATAGTGATCTGGCACCAATAAACTCGGAAATTGCTCTCCAAATTGAAAATTCTAAGTTACAAAACTTAATAATAATATCTTATTTTAAACAGCGAAAATAACTGAGAAACGAAGTCCTAGACTCAGTAGTTCTGGAATATCTTTTGAATAAGTTCCAGAAAAAGATGAGCTAACTACACCAACTTTTGAAAACTCAAACAACAAAGAATCAGAATCCGAAGTAGATTCCGTCCTCATATTGTTAGGGGTCACTTGAGAATCAGGTAAAGTTAAACTCGAATCTAGCATTGCTCTTCCAAGTAGAAAACTTTGAACAGAAGTTGGAAAAGGAAAGGCCTAGTTGTTACAGTCAATAGCCATAATAATTTTACAATACCCCGCTAAGTCCTATATACTTTTGATATACCACTCAATTCGCATAACTAAACAACTACTTAAACTCTGGGGACCATTGAGCTGAAGCATAAGAACTACTTTTGAGGTGACGTCACAGCACTCTTGTAAAAATAAGTCGTGTTTTTTTGCATTGTATCCATAGTAATTGTACCCTTTACCAAATAAAATTTTCTGATTAGTTCAAAAGTGTTATAAAGAGGTAGTTTCATAACTCTGATTTTTAAGCGGCAAATGTTAATTCGATAAACAAAGAGAGGATTTTTTTTGTGACGTAGTCTTTTGAAAAGTTATATTTCTTCAAGCAGTTTTTCAACAGATAATTTAATTAATAAATTTTGTAATAAAGTAAGAAAATTTAAGTGATCAAAGAGTTTATGTAAAGGTAAGTTTACTTAATAATTAACAACAGCTGGTCCGTTTTTCAATCCCTACTACACAGTAAGCTCAAAAGATTTTTTGATTGCAAGGGAAACCTGCTCGCCTTAATTATCGAAAGGTACCAGGTTGCTTATATCATTTTATCTTTTGTTTTAACAGTGTTATCAGTTATTCTTAGTTTTTCAGATAGCATATTTGATACACATAAAGTATACTGCTAAGAGGACAGCATTCATGGAGTTAGTCTTGTTTTATAATATAATATTCTGGCTACTAATATCCCCATGCATAACACCGTCAACGTTGTGGTGCCCAAGGAAATAACGTAAGCTAACAGCTTCTGTTTTACCGAACGCATAGGCGTGAAATATATAATGCATTGCCAGAATTAACAGCAAAATTCTTATGCCAGTTGTAATGCTGTTACGCCGTTTCCTTGAACAGGTCAGTAAGCATGCAGAGTTAACATTTAATATTGAAACCTTATATAGAAATTTGTACTTTTAAATACTAATATATACATAGTTTGTTTTATCAAAAATAATTTAGGTGGTATAGGGTTCTTGTTCCTGGAGTATAACTGCATTCCAAGCTGTGATTTAAGCTAAAGAATTTTGGTTTGTAAATAATTAATTGCACTAGCGAAGCAGCTAAAAATTACGTCACTTCATTATCAGGATGCTTTATTAGAGGTTAAAATATCCAAATTATATTCTTCAAATTGTCTCCTTAATTTTCTTTGTCAAATTTGTTTCTTTTATAAAAAGTGAACATACAATATGTTCGCTAATTTTCGTTTATGGTAGCCTTGATTCTGCATTTTGGTGAATTTACTTCTATCGAATCAAAAAGGTAACATTACTTATAACCTTTATAAAGGAATTGTAAAACCCAAAAAGAAAGATTATAACTTATATATAGCTGAAGCAAGAGGACACCCTCGTGTAGGAAATACGTCACTATATTATGTACTTCCTACTACAATGCTGATTGGGAGAAATGTAACTACATTAATTGTTTTCTTTGTTCTACTTTACTACTAGCCTCCGCCGAAACTATAAACATGGTAAGGTTGGTACTTATATAGGTACAATCATCTTAGGTTGAGATTCGATTTCCAATAGCATTCTAATTTTGAGACAAGTGCACTGGAGCATAATGCCCACTAATCTGAACTTTCCGATTTGTACTTCTTTCCATACCGCCCTTATGCATTACTGCACTAATGGGACGGGTATGAATATAATACCTTATAAGGGGTCTTCATTTGAGTTTTCTTAGAGTCGAAGCCAGTTAGAGTCTTTAAGGCTAACCGAAGCACCAAATGGTTTTCCCTAATCTTCTCCTTTCGGTCACTTATTTTCGGGAGGATATGGGCTAATTAACTTATCCACTCATAAGAAGTCCGCCGAATTAGCAGTGATCAGGCTTTTTTACACTGATGGATTAAAAGTAGTTGACGTATTAGACATAATACACTTTGCCGAAAAAATTACCCTTTCTTTTGAATAGATGAGCATTCATCAAGTAAAACGCATACAACCCCTACTTTAAGGGAGTGTTTACCCACTTAAGGACTTCTTATTATCTGTACTTTTCTTTCTATTGTAAACATTCTTCAGCGACACAAAAAAGCAAGCTAGAATTATTCAAAAATGCTGGAGTTAAGTCTTATAAGTAACATGCTCATACCACGTGTTACATATATCTTGTGCTTATTACCATCACATGTCCTTACTACATGTAACATCTTGTACATATTGTATTACCCCCTGAAGGTATAAATACACTTCCTCTATAGGACAGTAAGCTGATCGCTCCTCCCCTTTTCTTCGTCAAATTAAGGGACCTCTGCTCTGCCCACGGCAAGTTTTCAAGTCGAGGTCCAAGTCTCTCTTTCCTCAAGTCCTGCTCTCTTCAAGTTCTTACGCCTCGGAAGCTCGTATCTCTCTGAACTCCTACGCTCTAGAGCCCTTCTACTTTTCCTGCGGAAGCTCTACCGAATATTTAGCCTATACAAACTTGAATGACCTTGATAGCCCCCAGCCTGACCCATAACGACTGACACTGCCTTGTTTGGAAAACAGCACGACCGTGCTGCCGCCATCCTCCTTACGCTCTTCCTTGGTGATCAGGCTATTAGCAACGTACCCACCCCCGATACCCAACGTAAAGCATGGGAATCGCTCCTTTCACAGTATGAGAGAAAACCCGCCCAGAGTCAATTCTACCTTAAGCACAAACTGTACCGCTTGAGTCTCTCAGACTACCCAAGTGGATTGCGTCACAGTACTCTACATTGTTCAATGGGGACTTTATCACTAACAAGAACATGTTATTTCTTTTTTAAACGGATTACCCGACGAATACTCTAACGTCATATATGTCATATACTCACAACCTGGGCCTTTTATACACACAGCGTTGTTATGGCGATTCTTATTACAGAACTTAAAGTAGTTAATCAGGTCAACACTGTGAATACTGTGCTTGCCGCTGGGAGCGGACGCAAGAAAAGGTTGAGAATGAGAGAGTAGGATCTAAAGGTATGTGCTGAGTTTGTAACAAAAGTTTCTCGAAGTGTTTTATCTGAAGTCCGAAGTGCCCGAGATCAAGTCACTCCCCAGCAGACTGTTGACTGTGCGCTTCTTGCGGGAGATACGAGAACTTTCTCCCTTACGCAAGAAGAGCACAGGAACTATAAGCGGCAAAGGCGTGAATCTCATAGACGATATTCGTTTATGTGGAGTTACTTGATTGGTTACGCACATATCAACGCTTCTATTTGATCTTTGGCACCGGCGCCTTGGACATATTTTAAAGCGTTTGCTGATGAGCATGTTTAAGAACAATACCGCCGAGAATTAAATATTAAGGACACCGATAAAGCTACCGCCAGTGAGTGTTGCCAAATAACTAAGCGTCGACCACTGAACTTTGCGCACGAAAACTCGTTAAAAGCTACACGGGTATATAAAATAGTGTATTTCGATATTTTAGGACCAATTACTCCTGCGGCGTATGGTAGTTTTAAATATACCTTGTCTTTTGACTGTGCTTTTAAAAGAGAGGTTTCTTATAACCTTTTAAGCCAAAAGGGTCTTCGAAGATTATACTTGATCACGTCGATGGTGTAATACACCCCATTTAAAACGATAAGGTAACTCTACATTGCGGTAGTGCGAAGAACTTATTACCCGAGGACTCTTTGATGTATTAACCTTTAGAGATAAAATCGTTATCAATAACCCGCTCCATATTCCACAGCGTAATAAAATTGCTGAAAGGGACAATCAGATAGCATTAACATGGTAAGCTATGTTGTAGTATTCTGGCTTACAAAGTACCTGTGCGGGGAGCTCTATCATATAGTACACAAATTAAGAATTGTATAAGTACCAGTCGTTAACGTCCACTCTAATGCTTATCAATATATACATTTCACGAAAGTCGGACGTGAAGAGTTTTCGTCTTTTTGGATCGAGAGCTTATACCCTGAACTATACTCCACGTGGAAAGCTGGGGCATAGAAGCATTAAGGATTTTTCATCGGTCTGGGGCCGTAGGAATACTGCTTTACTCTCTGGGACCCCAAAGCTTCTAAGATACTAAGCAGTAGAGATGTAACCTTTGATGAGTCCGTTGTATACTAAAATACACTGAATTTACTCCAAGGCTGGATCTTATACCTACTGGATCAGTCACCCTTCACAGGCAAGCGGTTTTCATTTTCGAAACATACTGGAATCGGATACTATACCAAAACTTAGCGTTGAGGATGCACCTACCGATAAATTGATGCCCTTCACTCCTACTAACCTGGTGAGGCCCTACTACGCCCTATCATTCTTGAAACAGATGGAAATGAACCCACTGCGACTGTACCATACAATGCGCTCGGCGCAACTACTATACCTTCTGAAAGCTCAACTCCTCGTACAGTTAAGAGTTTAAAAAGCAGCAGTAGACAAATTGCTTCGAGCCGAGCTAGTACTAATGAGAGTAGTGATAAACGGACTAAACTTGAGGATGCAACCCAATGCACCACTAGTACTTCGCTCTTATCCTATGCCCTTACTAACCGCATACCAGGGAGGTACAAGAACCCAGAACATCTCGTAAAGCCCTGGATGGTGCGGATAAAGACCAATGAATAAATGTCCATTCAGCATGAACTTAGTTATCATAAGAAAAACCAAACTTGGAAGTCTGCTTCTCTACCGCTGGACGTATAAAGATTGACTGAAAGCGGATCTTCAAAGTGAAAAGTAATGCAGGTGGCATCATTAATATCTGCAAGAGTCACAACTTTGTTAAAGGATACAAGAAAATATACGGAGTCGACTACCTAGATACTTTTAGTCCAGTTACATCAAATCTGGACGAATATTTCTATGTCTGACCACAATGTTCAACACGGAAATGTTACACTTTGATATTGATTTGCCTTTACTATACTACCACTTGCCGAGGAAATTTACTTGGAATTTCCTTATGGTGTTAACTGCCAGAAGGATACAACTATGTCCGCCTTTTTATCTTAAAACCGGAACTGAAGCAATCTAGCATAAGATGGAACGTGACCATTTTTGAAGACCTCCTTAACCACTACTTCATCAAGTGTAATAGCGACCTCTCAAGAGAAAAAAGGACTTTCTCATTATACTCCTTTTAAACGTAGGTACTGCTTAGTTGCGTCCACTTGAAAGAACTGAGCGACGCAGTCATTTCCCACGTCTAGTCGAGGTGATTTTAAAGTACTGGGATAACAAAAGTTCCCTACAGATTAAATGGGAATTTAATTTAGTTTTATACTCCTAAAAGTGGCTTAAAAACATTGACCAGAGCTAGAATTTGTATGCATCTTTAAACCTGTAGTCTACGAGACTATCAATTCGTTAAAGTCGACAAAAATGCTCTACTCTTCGGTAAACCTTGCCGGATACTTTAGTAAGTCATATAACTTAGACTAACCGAAGTTAGAATCGGGTTCTCAATCGGGTCTGCTCTTAATTTATTGATCTATTAATACTGCTTATTACGTTCTTGATTATGTGTAAGATATTTAAAGCGAAACCGCTAAGCTCGATAGATACTACAGCTTCTAGTCACTAATTGCATGCGAAGACTTTTGACTGATAGATCGATGACCTATTCAGTTAGCCATAGATGTATATTACTGGCAGCCATGGACCTAGCTACTGAAGTCTAAGCGAAGCAACGGAGCTTCTTAGGTTGCAGATGATTTCATGCACTCAATTAACTAGGTTAATCCAGGAACAAGCTAATTAACTCACTCTCTATATACGGAGTTTTCAGCATGAATATAATGAGCTTTAGTATTATCACAATCTATCTCATAAATAAAAAATATTGTTAAACCTGGAAAATCTCTTATTATATCCAAGAAACTGACACAGTAGCTAGGGACGTTTTTTTACATCAATATTAAGTCCTTCTCAATGATTTTATATAAGCCCTTACTCAGAGCAGTTATGCAGTAGTTAGCAACGTGGCATCATGAAGTGCAACTACTAAGGCCGAGAGGACAGGGTAGTTAATTCACCTATGTATTCGTTACGGGAGTGCTTTTAAATAAGTTCACTACTGGGGTTGTGTGTTTATTTACCAAAAAGCATTCTTTCGATTACTCCTTCATAGTGAAACCGGGATTTGAAGCCCAAAGATTTTGACTTTTTTTTATCTCTTATTAATTCTTATTTCAGGCTAGCTATAATAGAATGTCTTATTATTTACTAACAGAATAGCCAGCTTTAGAGTTAGCTGAAATATCGGGAACTTAAAAAAGCAAAGTGTTCAGTATAAGAATACTTCTATAAAAATAGGCATGACTTCTAAAGTATGGTCATAAGTAATATCTTAATGTAAAAAACCAACATTTTAGAAAAAATGTTTAATGTATTAAATAATAAAAAGAAAAAAGAGATAAAATTTCCGGTGCATAATTCTGTTAACTTCGATCAATTTTAAAGAACTACTAAGGGCCCATGTTAACTATTAGTCATACCGTAGCAAGTAGTCAAAAGACAAATAAGAATTAGTAAACGAAATTTTTTTTTAATATAAAATAAAACTAGGTTTTCCTGAAGCCGACTCTTCTCTTTAATATGAGTTAAACTAAAGACCAGATAATAATTTGGCTAAAAGCAATTTAGTTTTCTTCAGGGTCTCGGTAACCAGTAAAACTGAATATAATAGTGTAAGTGCAAAAGAAGTTAAATAGATAAATAGATACCTCTCTCCTACAAAGCTGGACGTAGAGAAGCCCGGGTTATGTAAGCCTGGAGAAAAAGCAGTGGAGAAGCCACCAACGCTAGTACTCTCTGCGCTTCCAAAGATGCCACCGCATAAACTGCGGAGTAAACGTTATAATTTTACAGCATAAGAAAAACAAACATTGAACCCGCTTGTGCTGCCAAATATACCCCCAGGAGTACCAAAAACCAGGCCCGTCGGCCTTCCTTAATATATAGTATTAAAGATAAGCAAAAATAGCCATACTTTTATAAAATTTTTACGCCAGATCTGCAAAACTCATCGACACAGAAGTTCCTTGGCCTAAGCTGATATTTACTTCTAGAGAAAGCTCATTCTAGAAAGTAGACAAAAAGGTCTTACAAGTCACTGCTATGATTGTTGCTCTCACCGAACCCTTTGAAACTGTTTTGTAAAGAGAAGCCAGATTTAATAAAACCCGAGGTTTTTGTGTCAGGAGGAGCGAAGCTTCCGACAGGTGCTTGACTGGGCACAGAACCGAAAGATAGTGAGGAACTGAATGGTAAAGAAGCGCTTTGTTTAGGGCTAGCAGTAACAGGCGTTTCGGAGACTTTTGCCGCAGACGGTAATTGAGAACCTAAATCTAAACAAGAGCTAACGGAAGGGACGGCGTCTGTTTTGTCGAGGCCTTGAGTACTGCCGAAAAGACTGAATGTTGTAAATGAGGAGAGATCAAAGGCATTGGAAGGGGCCTTGATAGGGGTGGTCGCTTTATTAGGGGAGGTAGTGTCTGTCGTAGACTCAATGGGAAAGCTAGAGAGTCCCTCGCTTGACACCGTTAAAGCTGCGGCACTGGAAGCAGTCGGAAGAGAGAAGGAAAAGGCTGCTGCTTCCATTTTGACTGGAGGGCTGTTACTAAGTGTAGTATCGCTCTTTTCCGGATTGAGAGTAGAGACGATATTTTTGGAAAGCTCAAGCTCTAATGTAGTTGTCTTTAAAGTGTTCTGCAAGCCAATAGCGTTATCTTCCTCTAAAAAAAAGAGGGACACACTTAGCTAAAGCAAGTAGCCAAAGGCGAGTAATAATTACTTTCAAGCGTTGTGATTTCTAAGGGCTTTGGGGGTTCAAAAGATGAACTGGAAGTGAGAGATAAGTGTGGAGAAACGGGCTGGCGGCTACTAAGGGCCGGTGCATCCGTTTCACTATTAAAAAAGTAAGTAAACGCCGTAAGCACGACCGAAAAAAATTAACTTCGTTTTCTTAACAATTTCATTTTCTCTAGAAATTTGTAACAAAGTGTTAAGTTCGCGAAGTTTTCCAGACTTTGGTGTAAGTTTAAACGAAGTTGCTTGATTTTTATAAGGAGAAACCGAGAATGCCTGCTCTGAAGATCTAGTGAGAGTCAGAGACCTTTGCTGTGCCTGATCCAGCTGGCGTCGTAAAACCAAAAGAGATTGGTAGTGGTGCCGAAGAATGCTGTATATTGTCTCGAAGGCAGACGCCCCTCTACTGCCCGTCGCCCGGCTGTCGGGGTCGAGAGCAGTTTCCAGTCCGCTCAGCTTAACCTCGACACACTTTTGAAAATGATCCAATCAGAAAATGCAGGGAAATTACAGTTCTTTAATTAATACGGAGAGCTTGCGCATGAGTTGAGCGCGTTCGTCCCGCTTTTCAGAATCTAGTTTCCTCCTGTTTAACTTTTAAAAAAAAAGAACAGCGCTGATAATAAGGAGGCCGCTTTCCTAGCAAATAGACGAGAGTCATCTTTCTTGTGACTGGCCAGCAACTTTACTTTTAACTGAGTGGTCGACTGAGAAATTCTACAGTGCGGTTTAAAAATGACCAAAAAAAGAATTGTAAACAACTTTTCTAGCAACGACGAGAGTTGGCTCATCTCTTTAGTAATTGAGTTATAATTTTTAACGGAGGTCTCCATTCTCTTTTCCAGAGCAGTCAAAGCAGACTTTTGCAGGTCCGCAGAGCCCAACTCTATCTTATAAATCATAGTAAATTTCACAGAAAAATATTTAGAAATTTGTTAAGTACTTTTTCAAAAGTGCCTTCCAAGGCTTTGAGTTCCTACGATGCACTAGTTAAGAGGCACAATCAAATAAAAAAAAACTTCTAGAAAACGCGCCTTTTCGAATCTTCCACGAATGGCGGACCAGACACGCTCGCTGGTGATCTTTACGGGGAGCTCGTCCTCCTCCGAATTCAATGCGGCCGACTTCTTTGGTTTCAAAGGCTTATTTGCTTTAGAAAATCCGGATTGCTTCTGAGAACTGCCTCGCGGCTGTTGGCAAGCAGATTCCAGGCGGGGAAGAGGATTCGGCTGGGCAAACCTAGCAAGCGCCAGATAGTATAAAGTAATATATATATAAATAAAGAAAGAAAGGGCCTTACGAACACGGCTGCCAGGATGCATCCACCACGTGCTTAGAAGTGAGTTTAAAATTCGAGTCCAACATCAACACACGGGGGCACGCCGGGCCCTCCACCCAATTCCCGTCGGCATCTTTAACTCCCACACCGGCAGAGGCGGTGAGATCCACCGCAAGGCCGAGCACAAAGCCGAAGTTGCCTACCAAAATTCTGTAAATTCCTAAATCTGGTAGATCCTTGGACGGACACGAGACGGACCTTCTGAAAATGAAGGCACCAGTTTAAAATTAGAGGCTAGAAGCTCGTACAGCACCCAGCGGTTGGTGCCTTCAAGGCGCCCATACAAGTAAGTTTCTGTGGATCTGCTGCTGGTGAAGATGCCAAGCTCCCTGCGAAGTGCCATATAAAGCAAAGAGAATTAAAAAATAAGGAAGGAAGCACTAACAAAGGCTTAATAAACACGTGTTTAAAGGCGAAAGCCACGTGATCATCAGTAATTTCTTCGGGAATGTAATTTTCTTCATAAAGCAAAACATCCCCGCGCTTGAATTTTTTTTAAACTATTAAATTTTATCAATTTAATTTAATTTTTAACTATACGCTGTTAACAATGGCCACATCGCAGGTGGAAGTAAATAGAATAAAGAGATCGTCTTTTATAGAAAAACAAGACAAGACTTCAGCTAAAGAAAAATAAAATTAATTTATTAAAGTTTTTATATTTTACACAAGGGACCTTCTTCTAAAAGTTGTAGGGATTCGTGAAGAAGGACAGAAAATTTCTTGTCACCAAAAAAAAATTGTAGTTTGCAACGCAAATTAATTATTAAGAGTATTTTTCCATCACAAGACCAAGTAGCTTAATAAGTAAATTAGTGTTCTAAATTTGATTTTGAAATACAAAGCACCTGACACCACTTCGTCTTCTTTTAATATTTCTTTGGAGCGCGATCTCAAATTCAAATCATAAATAGACGCTTGGCCCGATTTATAAAGAATTAGTATCCTATTGACTAAAGAAGCAGGGCTAAAAGATATGGAACGGATGCAAATTTCAGTAGAGAGGGTAAAAACAATCTACAGAAATATAATATAGGAAGTACGCTGAGTAACACGTTGTAAAATTATAGTACCTGAGCTACTCCTCGCGATAACTGAGTAATGTCGTAGACGTGAACTACGTTTGGAAAAGCCACAGCTAAATGAAGTTCATTGGGAGAAAGGGAAATCCCTAACAACGGCAGGAGGGCTTTTTTTTTTTTAATATATATATATATATTAAACATAGAAATAGTGCCACTTATACAAAATAAAGTACCTTCGGATAAGGGTAACTGAATTAAGCTAGAAAGTTTTAATAAAGATTGTACATCCTTCGAAAGCAAGTCGGATGTAAGTATAAAGTACAAAACTGAAAAAAAAATGGTGCATAAAGTAAACATAGAAGCTTACGGTATACCAAAGCAGAAAGTAAAGCAACCTTTTGAGTCAGAAAAAATAAGGTATCCATAAAGGTTAGAGCAAACTATGTATTCCCCAAAAGTGTTAATTATTTTATCAGCCGGGCCAGCAGATTTTGGCAGATTTAAGTAATTTAAAAGATCTGCAAAGTGAAGCCCCTAAGCAATGAAACTCATAATAAAACAGAAAGGAAAGTGAAAGTAAGATAAATTCAAGCTTTAAACCTTCTTTAAAACGACATTCTTATCCTCTGAATCACTCATACGTTAACGCTATAGGAAATATATTAACGCTAAATACGAAATGTAAAGAAACAAGAAGGACATGCACAGGGTATGGGCAGGTACGTCTCCCACTATAAGTCCGCTGTCAGCACTGCAAGCGGGACAATAAATGAGAGTAGAACTAACTTTTATTTATTATTTGTTATCACAATTAGACAATTATTATTCCCTCGATGCACTTTTACTTTTTAATAAAATAAAAGTTTCATTTTTAAAAGATCAGCATCTTTCCGTTAGCCGCTTGGAAACCAAAGTTGAGTCTGAACTTCTCTAAAAAAAAGCTCAGTTTACTTACCAACCATTACTGTAAATTATGTAACTCACACATTTAAAACCATGAAGTAAGTTATAATAACTATTTATAATTAAGCATGAAATCAAAATTGAGTGTTTGCAAGAAAATATTTATTAAGTGAATATAATATAAAACGTTGCTTGAATTAACAGGTTGTACTTGGGTTATTATAACTGTTCCTTACGCCAGGTGTTATTAATCTCGCTACTTTCCCGTTTATCTTCTTAAATCTTTTATTTTAAAAGTTTTTTCATAGTTTATATCTTTTTAAATGATACATATATTAAAGAAAGGCTAAGTACTTTGTTTAAGTATTCCTTGAAACAAAACATCAGCAAAAATCTTAAGTTTGCTTTGTGACATCTGTTTTTTTCTTACATGAGAGAGCAAGTAATAAGCCAAAGCTGTGGAAGCACGGTTTAATCTAACATTAGTTTAATAAATTCTTTATTTTAAATATTATAAACTTTTTATCTGCATAAAGTTGGCTATACATATGAAGTCTCTCTTTATTTACTATTGATGCTACATTATCCCTCTTCAGGTATTTTCTCCTGGATCTTACCCCTTTCCCACGGCCTTAATACCTTTTTAGTAATGTATAGAAGATTATATGATCTGATTTTATGTATATAATCCTTCCCCTTCTATTTTAACGTCATTCAAATAAATATTTTCGATATAATTACCTTTCTTGAATTTTAGACGTATATCGTTAATGGGTTGTGATCAAAATGCGAAGTTTCCATAATAACGCATCTTATTACCTTTTATAATGTAGTAATCCCTAAAGCCAATATCTACAAATATACATTTTTAAAATTTTATGTTTAGTTTTGTTACCAAGAACCATTAAGACAGGAAGAATGGAGGAGGGCTATCGGGTGCCAACGTTATGGACATGATAACTTTTGCACCTCACTTTTCCTCAAATTTTGTAATAAAGAAAGGTACGACTCACTATCTGAGCTCATTACGGTGGAGACACACCGCTACTTATTGTACATTGTACTCCTTGAAAGGCCCACTTTTTAAAAGCAAAGTAAGAATCGTTAGTCAACTAAAATCGAGGACTAGCAGTCACTGAATGCTCGTAAGCGCGGATTCTATTGGATAAAGCCAATGCGATAATTACTTCTAGCAATAACTTAAAGAGTAAAACAGACCATATCCACCATACCTGAGGCAATTAGCACGATTTTTTTTATAAACTTAACTGTGTAAAACGACTAATTGAAATTTATTAGAACACTAAAATCACAATCCTAAAACGCTGAAGAAATTTAGGAAAAGAAAAATTAATATAATATGAACATTGGAAAACTCTTCTCAAGGACGGCGATAGTTTTCCTTACTCTATTATTTGATGTTCAAATAAGAGCGTAAGGATATCAGTTTGATAAGAGTTATAGTTCCAACTTAACCCCAACGTAGTACTAAGGCCTTTTAAGGTCTAGGTATTAATTAAATAGGTAATAAAAATTGTCTTAAATTATGAACCCTTTAAAAATATCACTTTAGTCAGGTCGGAAATTATATTTAACTAAGAACCGAACATAATTAGTGACCATACTTAATGCAGACATCATAGAATGGTAAAATAATCGTAATAATATAAATGGTTTAGTCCTACACGAGTGGATTTCACAAAATGAGACTATCTTTTTAGGGCTGAAAGAACCTGAAAAATAATCAACTTTAGGGACAAGTGATGTATATAAAATGGCGATGTCAAAGAAACATATCGTATGGTACAAAACTTTTTGTTTTACAAGGACCTTCTTTAAATCGCAACCCGATCTTGTTCGAAACAGTATGTTTACCTAAACTTAAAATAAATTTAATAATTGGGAACACATGCTATACTCATAAGTAAATAAATGAAGTTGAAACAATTTGTGGGTGTCATATTAGCTTCCTCCCTAATACCTGAAACAAAGTTAAAGCGTATAAAAAAAAAAATTTGCGGTCTTTGCTTATCCATCTAAAGAAGCTTTTAACAGACATAGCGATATACTGAAAGAACTTTGTTGCTATTTTAACGATATATAAAACATTAAATTAGGTCATTAACTATTACCGACAACTCAATGAATCAGGCACGAAACATGGAGACATCTTTAAAATACAAAACCGCCATGCCCACCATTTAAACAAGGGGTCCTTTTCTCTATTATATACTTTGCCTGATCACTTATTTTGTACACCCAGAAAAACTGTAAGCATGACCTAGAGTACGTTGTTTGTAAAATAATTGATATCGCCCTTACCGGTTGTACTACTACGCTGGTTTCGTAATCCTTTGGTGATACCTTAAAAGAGAAGTATTGGTAATTTTTAAGAGGCTGCAGGATAATGCTAATATAAAGAAGTTTATTGGGAGGACCAGTACGACTTTAGGTAACAGCATTACTCTTGCCAAGTAAAGAACAGCATATAAATTTCGGTGCTCCCTTTTAAAATCAGGCAAACGGCAGCTACAATATTTTTGGTCATATACAGAGCGTGATAGTTCTTCTATCCAAAAATTAGCTTCTAAAGTTCTCCCCTTCTATATATTATTTAGTTATCATATAACAAACCCGAATTCCAGGTATATCCAGAGTTAAACGCGAGGACTATTTACACCGTATCTCAAAATTCCGGCCTCCGCTAACAAATATGTACAATGTTACAGGAATAAGTTTTTTCGTGCCATAATCCTGTAAAGAGTGGTGTATTTTACCAAGAACAGTATAGTAATTAACTTGAAAATGCTTTGCGTAACACTACCAGAGAATCTATACGCTAAATATATGAAATCATAAAAGACTACTAATCTAATTGGCTTAGCCATATTACATGGCATAAAAATTGTAAGAGGTTTTATTCGGCTGGCGCTTTTTGTTTATAATTAAATGTTACGCCTTAATTAGGGGAAGCTACACCATTAACATGTAAGACCATTATAAAAAATTAAGCTTTTTTTTAATAAACAACTTTTCAGTAATATATATATTGTAAGAGAAACACCAGCTGCTGGCTGTATACAACTTGTAAGAATATACCGGGTACCTTAATATTATAACTGTCCTTTTTATAAGCAAGTTAACAGAGCTTCTATATAACGTTGGACTTTTAAAATCTAAAAGTTTCGTCAGTACTCCAATTTTTTTGGTATAAGAACAGTATTAAAGTATAATTAATTTAACTATAAATTATTTTATTTCATACGCACCTCTATAAAGAGTTACTAATTCAAATGTAATAAGATTAATCTGACATTAAGTTTACATAAAAAAGTCATAGTTGCTACTCCGCACTACGAAGGAAGATTGTTAGATAATTTTTTCGTTTTAAACAACACTTATAACCAATATAACTTAGCTTTTCCATATTTCTAGTTGTGTCTTGCTGGTCTTAAAGCCCTTACTTGCTTAGATGAGGAATTTAAAATTACGGAAACCTTTAAGAAGATTCCAAAAAAGTATTAATTAACTTTTATTGTTTTAATAATTTTACACTTCTTCTTTGCTTTCAACCGTATTCAGTGTGCTTGTCATACCATGTGAAGATGTACTTTCATTTCTTTGCATTCGTACTTTTGAAGGTTGGTCCACTCGTGATAACCAACCACTTAGAATGTATTTACCCTCTAATGTTTTTTTTTGAGTTGCTCTTAATGTAAGTTCTATTAAAAAAAGTTCACTAAGCGAACATAGGGCGTACATTAAAGAACTAGCTTGGACAGCAAATTGCCAACCTGTTTAAAATAGACAATATATAAGGCTACAAAAGTTTACCAGCTTAGATATTACCAATGTCTGCCAATATAGGTTTTTCCGTGTTACTCAGTATAATCGCAGCGCTAATTGCGATAAGAGTATATATAGTGGTCCAAACATTGGTATTAAAATCAGAAAACTCTTGAGCTAGGAAAAATATTAAACCGAGGAATTATATAACTTTCATGGGTACTTTAAGGCACTTACATGCATTTCTGCATTTCCAAGTATAAAAAGCAAGCAGTCCGCTATAAACTACGACGTAGAGAAAGAAAAAGTATGTAGCTGATATATTTTCCATTTTTTTTGTAGCCACTATTGAAAATTTTTTAAATGTGTATTAGAACATTTATCACTCATTATATTGAATAATTATGAATTGTGTGCGGAAAGTTCAACTTTTTTTTGGCATTGAACTAGTTATTACATTGTTTATATACTAAACATAATACATTAAATAATAACTGTATAACTTTTTACCTTTGACTATTAACGGTAGTAACCCTAAGAAAAATATTAGGAGGTGTACTGGGTAATACTTAAAATGATTAATGAATGGGTTGACTTTTTGGTGTCTTTCAATCTGGGTATATGCCTCATAAATTATTCTCATCCGAATTGCGATAGCAGAGAAAAAGTTAACGGTGAAAAAAGTCAGGAAAAGACCTATCTTAAAATATTAAAAAAATTTAAAGTAGTGTCCGACGCACTTATTAATTTACTTACTATTTGAGCTATATAAAGCCCTTTCTCCTTGTCATCAGTGAGTCTCCCAAGCCTAGCAGCCGAGTAGAAGATCGAAAGAACTAAGGTGTGTATAATTACGGTAACCCTTCGTCGGTACTCGCTATATTCCCTTAATAACTCACCCATAATGCCAGCTGCAGAAATGCCTATGTGTGCCAGAAATAATTTCCCTCTGCTTTTAGCTACTTTGGTGTTTTTAAAGAAAAGTGCTACCAACAAAGATAATGTAAAGAGAATAATATGCGTCAGCCCTTATAAAGAAATTTAGTATATTAATTACCATGTACCGACTAATTTATTATTAATAGAATTTTTTACCCGCTCCAATGCAAAGAAGAAAAATTTCTTTATAGCCCTTTCCTACCTTAAAAAAAAGCATCGTTAAATTTAAAGAAGTGGTCTTAATAACGGCTTATAAATTAATTAAAAAAACGTCCTTATATTTTAATGTTTTTAAAAAATGAAACTAAATTAATTATTTTAGTAAAATTATTAAGCTTATAAAATCCCTTATTGGTTTTTCTATATTTTGTGAAAATTATAGCAAAATAGTATATCTGTAAAAGAGTGCATTACCTTATCATCTGTAGTAGCGTATTGCAAAGATGTCTGAGCACTCTGTCCAAGATTTTGAGCTATAACTATTAGAGAATTTTATCTCAAAATAGGTAAATATATGTATTACTTTTCAATTTAATATTACTTGCTGGTGTATTATCTTTATGATAAATGCTATCCTTATATAATAATTATTAATAAGATGATTTTAGAAACAAATTAAGCATCTAACTCAAAGGAAATAGTAAATCTAAGCATTATCGAATATACATGAAAAAAATATAAATTAAACTAATTTATTTAAATACTGGGCCATTTTTTCCAGATTACTACGATAAAAACTGCATTGAGGATAAAAATAAAGCAAAACACCCCTATAATGGCGGCGGTACCTGTTAAAGACGATTATTTTTTATAATTGCTTAATATACGTTTTCCATTAAAATTTATTATTTTAAAATAACCGAATTTTTTGTGGTAGTCTTTTGGATGACTCCCTGTCCGTTCCTTAATATTCATAGCTGCTCATAATACAACTAAGAAGGAAGCTTGCTTGATAATTAAATGCAAGACTTTTCGTTCGGTAGTAATAATGATTAAACGCCGGGGCAAAATTGTACAAAAATAAAATATGTAACTGTACGTTCTAAAGAAATTACTATATATGACCTGCCTTCTGTTACAGTTGCTTTATTGGTACTTTAATTTGTTAAAATATGCTTTATGGTTTATTTTCTTTTAAAAAGGGTAGTGATAGGTTTATTTAATTTACGTCGCTTAAGGTAATTTTACAGGTGCTAAAAAAAATGTAGTTTTTATATTCTTTAGCAAATTATAAGGAAATTATCTTATTTAATTCCTGTAATAATGGTTATTTTTTACTTATATTTTAACACTTATAAGCTAACTCCTTCTAGTATATATAAAGGAAAGAAAACTTAACTAGATGCTATTATAATCAAAGGGGGGTATTATGTTGAAAAGCTAGTTTTTAAGTCAAAAATATCGTACTAGGCATATTCCTCTTTTTGTGTAGGTGATTCCTTCTGCTTAATTTTTACACGCTCCATAATATTAAATGGTAGGAAGACCCAATTATTTTACACTACATTATAAATCAGTATGCCCCTAATACAAATTAAATATTTTTAAAGAAAGCTGTACATGCAGGAATGCCTGTATTAACTTTGCTGGTATAGATTTATCAACATTGAAGTACCATTTTTAAAACCAATTCCATAGCTGTAACTAAAATTGTTATACGACTACATGAAAGTGTGTAATAACACCCCACGGATGTAAGTATCAACTTTCATCTTTAAAACTTTTATAAACTTTAAAAGTAGTTAGATATCAAACTGGATACAAAAGACAGATAGGCAATACGTAAATCATGCGAAGGCACGAGTATTTAACAAAAGATGTACACTTATTCCTTAGTTATTTTCTTTTGTCAACCTGTAAATCTCTGACATCTCTGACCTCTAAGGTTTTTTACCAGTTATTTGTATTTTCCATTCTCAATGGTTGGTTACCAAAAATAAATTTATATATGCTAGCAGACATGCCTTCAGGGCTAACTATTAAGGCTGCTGTCAGGCCCGTACATCCGATTCTTTTTGGTTAGATATGACGAAAACCGCCAAAAAAAAAATGCTGACGGGGATGGCCAAAAAATAATAGGACCGGCCCTCTATCACCCCTCGAAAACTTACCTGCTTAGCTGTTAGTTAAGTCTCCCCAACTATGAGCTCCAATTTTAAGGGAGAAATCTTTTCGTTTGTTTATTATTATAAGACTTTTACGGATGTCAATATTTAGCTTAATCTAACGACATTTTGATATTATGTACAACCCAGACAAAGCTTTAAAAGCATAAAGCAATTTTTAGTTTACTTATATAAATCTTTTTTTAAAGCGCTTTAGAGACAGAAAGCGTGTCTATTAAGCTGCTCCTAGATGCTTATTACCCTTCCGTAGACCAAGTACTTAGTTTACCTAGACCCCATTTAATGAGCTCATATGCGCCTAGCCGGCGCACAAGTCAACTATCACGAAAAGTTTGTTTGGCTGTATTGTAATATTTCAGTTAATTGCCGGTTTTTCCATTTTTCAAGCAGACGAGACGTTATCTTTTAATTTTTAGCTGCCACTATATATATATATAATAATTAGTTTTTTATATACAATAATAATTTTAGATCATTCGTGTAGAAGAAACAAATATTATTAGCTTCATCTAATCGTTAAAACTCAGTTTAAAATATATTAAAGTGTTGGCTTAACTATGTTAAAAAAAGTATTTTTATTGCAATTCTTTTAATAAAAACTTTTTCTATCAAATGGATAGTATGCTTAAGGCTAGCCTTTGCCTTGTTTAATAAAGATTTGAGATTTTTAAATTAGATCTTAAAAAAACACCTTTTCATTTCTCTTCTTGTATACTCGCTCATCTTTCTTATCGAAAGGTCAGAGTTTTAGAGTAAAATTTTAAGCTCTCTAAGTTAGAGTCACTGATTTAAATTTTAACTAATCTGTATTTGAAACTATTGAAGTTGAATCAGCTAAGGTTTTTCTACACATTCTACACTTGGTTATATTTGATTTAGCCATCTGCTAAGATAAGATATCCTCGATTAATTGGGTCTGCCTTAGCTTTATAACTTGTATTTAGCTAATTACTGGCTATTTAGAGCAAAAAGTATAAGTAGGAGGCATAGAATTAGCTTTTAGTACTAACAATCAACTTATGAGAATACTTTTTTTATGGGTGGTAGCTTAGATACTTATACTCCTTAACCAGTCAATGCCTATATCCTCAAGTTATTGTTCTAAAAGAGGTTTATATTACGGTGATTCACCCCCTCTAGGCAAGCATTAGAATTTTCAAGTTTTATTATTTGTGTGTTTCTGGTCACTGCTTTCCTTTGCTTCAGTCTGCCATTTAGGTTGATATACTTCAAATGTGCAGTAGATATAAAAGTGATTGGAACCGAATCAAGGAGTTATCAATGAAAAGGATATAGTATTAGCAGTCCAACTCTTAGTAGGTTTTACGTCTTAATTTCTTGTTAGCATTGGTTTATTGACCCCTCTTGGATTACGGAGGAAAGAGGAGAAGCGATCACATTATTGTCCCGTAGAGGAAGGATGATACACCTTTGGGGAAGAAATATAAACTGGAGGACTGGCATAAGAGGTGCATAACACGTGGGACACGTGATTAATCAGAGTTTACTCCAACCTTGGCCTGGGAACTTATGAAACCGCATAGTTAATAATTGATAAAGTAGAAACACTTCTAGGGCTTAAACAAAATTAAATAATTAACTCGAAGTATCCTAAAGTAAGTTGGTTCGATCGAGCACCAGGTAGGACCATTTATTTATGAATATATAAATAGTCAATTGAGTTGATACAGTATAAAGAGTACATCTGTTACAGTCGAATTTACTGTCCTCATGAACGGTGAGGCTGGATTTGAGTTTTTATAACGATAGCCCAAAAAGAAATGTGAAAATTTGTTTATAGACTGTTTTAAAAAGAAATGGATAATCTACAGAGCAACCGGGATAAATGATTTAAATAACAAAATAGCTACGTAATAAGTAATCTTCTTACATCATTAAAAAAGGTGCTACTGCGCTTTTTTACACAACAGCCTAAGAGCACACCTAAAGGTAACTTATTTCGTTAAGGTGTTCACATGAAACAGCGGTTAAGTAAATATTGATGTGTTTCTAATAACAGGAACAATCACAGACTCGTGCGCACTAATTTGCAGCGAATGTTTATTATAACCACAAAAAAGTATATTTAAGAGTAATTAATTATGATCCAATATTTGTTTATATATACATATATATATATATATATATATATATATCAACTTATTAATAAAACAGTAATCAAGGTTTTACTGTTTTTCGCTGTACGTGCAACTTGACTTATTTACAGTCTTTGTATTCAATATTGGGCCTAGTTTGCGTGACATTATGTATAGGTACTTAACCAGCCGACCTAACGAACGAGGAAAAATTACTGGCTTGCTAGCAGGGAATTAAACCTAAAAAATCCAACCTTTTAAAAAATTTTGTTTTTTTCCCCCTAACTAGCATCATTTAACAGTAAGATTATATTACTTTTGAAAGAACCTATGAAGTTAAAAGTTTGAATTAGAACCAGTTTTCGTGATATAAGTTCTATCATAAAAAGTTAGGGTTGCCCTTTTTTTATCTTTACTTGAACTTGAATTTTAGTTTTTATGAAAAAATTTTTATTATCAACCAGCACACCAAAATGAAAGAAAACTTTCTCCAATTCACCTTAAAATTTTAATAATTTTCCCTAAACTTGTAATATTTTTAGCGACGATAAACTAACGATGCAACCATAAGTTCTGTTCAACTTGAAGAGAACATACTATACCACTTGACTTAAATTATTTGTAGAGTTAATGAAAGGCTACAAAAAAGACAGAGAAATCACCTTTTACTGGCACTTACTTTTTACATAATTCAATTTTTTTGTCATAATAGCCTTAATAAAAGTAAGCGGGCATAACAATATTTAGTTAACATATTCATCATAATGAAGCACCAGTGGTTCAATTAAAATTTTAATCCAAACTGACTAAAGAAAAGGTAGGAGTAAGCGTTAAAGTTATTATTAAACGCATCATTAATAACCTAAATGAAGGGGTGTAATAGTTTGGTAATCTGTACGTCAGGTCTACCCTAGTTTTCCCGGAAGTAGTAAAATATTAGAAAAAACCGGTTACCTCATAAATTAATTGTTACTGGTGTT